TCATAAAGACTGAAAAATAAAATTGACAAAGATTATTGTTTAAGGTTGACGGACGCACATGTCTTAATTAGTTTTTTTTTTTTTTTTTTTTTACGAATTGGTCAAACCCAAACAAAAACATTGTTTTCAATCGTTATGAGTCTCTACCGATTGAATAGAATTTTATTATAAACAACTGTCTTGTAAATGGAATTTTTAAAGCATTCTGAATGTTAAAAATAAAGAAAAAAGTGTGCAGGAGAATAAGAAACACTACCTGCCAAAAAAAAAAAAAAAAAAAAAATGTGAAGTTTTGTTTTATCGGCTGAAAAATATAGGAAATCCGCTCCCATATTTAAAGGAACCCACACACACAAACAACCCGAAGTGAGTTGTCCCCCTTCCATTTTCACGATGTCTCTTAATCGTGTTTTCAAATTGATTTTATGCAAAAACAATTATATTTTTCCCCATTTTTGGCACTGTTAGAACCACCACAAGGTAATTTTATGTAGTCCTGTGAAGTTTTGTTGAAATCTGTTGAAAAATGTAGGAAATCCGATCCAATATATAAACGTTACACACACAACCTGCGTTTTATAGTAAGACTAGCAGTAGAGCCCGGCGTTGCCCGGGGATGTAGCAGTAAGAGATAGATCAAGTATCAACCATCATAAAGACTGAAAAATAAAATTGACAAAGATTATTGTTTAAGGTTGACGGACACGCATGTCTTAATTAGTTTTTTTTTTTTTTTTTACGAATTGGTCAAACCCAAATTCAAACAAAAACATTTTTTACAATCGTTATGAGTCTATCGATTGGTGAATAGAATTTTATTATAAACAATTGTCTTGTAAATGGAATTTTTAAAGCATTCTGAATGTAAATAAAGAAAAAAGTGTGCAAGACAATAAGAAATACTACCTGCCGAAAAAAAAAGTGGATGTTTGTTTTATCGGCTGAAAAATGTAAGAAATCCGATCCCATATATAAAGGAACACACACACACACAACCTGGGTTTTTTAACCTAAGTCACTCCACGGAATTGCTAAAACATAAAGCAGTCTGATGAAAAAGACGCCAAAGTTTATGAAAACAAAATTTTATCGTCAAAATGCTTATTTTTTTATGAAGAGGATAGACTAAATTTTTTTTTTAATTATTTTTTAAAAATTTTTCCATCTTTTTAGAATATTCTAAATTTCGATTTAAAAAACCTTGTTTCTCTTTGTCGCAATAAGGGGTAGTAAATAACATAGATAATTTTTAGCGCATTTTTTTGTATTTACACACATTAATTTGGAAAATCTTGCAAAAATAAAAATAATTGTCAGATGTTAATGAAACTTTCAGAAACTATTCACAGATGATCGAAATTATTATAAATATTTTTTTTTTATTAAAGTCATGGCAGAAATATTTTTTTTTATATTTATAAAAACACCCCCATAGCTAATTTTATGAAAAACTCTAGAAATTCGAGACCATCGGTTTTAGTGATTACAATAGTTAAAAGCACAAGGCTTTGAAGAATGCAAATCATGTTTTTTTTTTGTTTTTTTTGTGTTTTTTGGTCAACGTACCTGAAAATCAGCTGTGAATTGTAACATACAAAACTCAATAAAACAAATATATTATTTAGTTTCAAATGCTTTTATTTGTTTTAATTTGTTTTTATGAATATGGACAATATTTTCTGAAAGCAAAAAATTTTTTCAATGAAAATTGAATTTTTAATACAATTATTTCTTATTTCTTTAATTTTAAAAAGATTTTTAAAAAATGTTTAAACTGAATTTTAAAAAATATTTTAACATTAGTTAAAACTTAAAAGCAACATCAACCTTTCAAAATGTCCGTGTGAGATTGTCATTGTCTAGCGCTTTGAAAATTGTATAATTTGGACCAATCAGATTAGCCATGGTAATTAAGAAATGTAATTTTTGTGTTTATAGTAATAAATAGTAATTATCAAGTACGGAAGACCAACCAGAATACAATTTAGTTGCATTATTTGAGTTCAGCATTGTTCTCCGCTGTTAAGCCCTTTTACTTTTTTAAAAACACGTATGGAGAAGTTAATTTGAGTTTTCAATTTCAACTGAGAAGGGTACCTACAAGTAACAGTATCATCTTATGAAATTTAACTACTGCTAAACTTTAATGTATATGATCTTATTTTTATATTAATCTCAGTTATGACATTTTTCCATAAATGAAATATCAAAATTAATAATAAAATGAATGGAAATACAAATAACACAGTAAAATGTAATAAATGTACATAAAATTATAGTATTTTATGTACACTTCTGATAAAATTTCATAAGAAAGGTACCTAAATTAATTAGATACCTTTTTCTTATGAAATTTAATCTCACTATTAACAGTCTTATCTTTTAATTTCTTTATATTTTCCATAAAGCATCGTAAACATAAAAATGAAAGCTAAGTACAAAAAAAAAAAATTAGAGCGCTGAAAGTTTTCCTTAAAAGTAACGAGGTAAATAATTTGTTCACTTAAATAATTTCACTTCCTTCCATCCGTAGAAAGAATTATCCTCCCGTAAGTTATCTAAACGTCATGAATATGCCTTTCATCAATCGTCAAGCGACGCGAAAGGTTATGACCTGCTTTGTTTTATTTTCAAATTACATTTTTTCAGCACAGAAGCTAAGTTAAGCTTGGTTCAAAATATTTTAAATAAACAGTGTAATATCTGTTTTTATTAAAATCAGTTTTGAAAAAATGATAATTGACTATCAAAGTAAGATTTTAATCTTTTTTTATCAAATCGAAAAAAATGATTGAAAATGATTATCTGCCCTTTTTTTTGACCAAAAAAAAAAAAAAAAAAAAAAAATTTTAACAAAAATTTCAGACGTGCTAGAAACGATTAAAAAGTGTAAAAAAATACCCCCAAAATACTTTGATCTTTCCTCTTTAATAATAATATGAACATTAGACAATAAAATGTTGTTTTCGTCAAGTTCGGCGTCTTTTTCATCATGCTATGCTCATTTGTTTACATTTTCATGGGTGAGTTCTCCCCCTTTCATTCTCACGATGTGTCTTAATCGTGTTTTCAAATTGATTTTATTAAAAAACAACTGTATTTTTCCCCATTTTCAGTCCCGTTAGAACCACCACAAGGTAATTTTATGTAGTCCTGTGAAGTTTTGTTGAAATCGGCTAAAAAAAAATGTAGGAAATTCGATCCAACATATAAACGTTACAGACACACACACATAACCTGCGTTTTATAATAAGATATATATATATATATATATATATATATATATATATAGGGCAGCCAGCTAATCCTCATTGCAGATGCCAGAGGTGGATTCTGTGGCTGTCTGTTCAACACCCACTAATCACACGTGGTTTATACTGCAACTATAAAGAGTGGACCTTAGTTACAATTTCTAAGATAGAGTACATTATCTAGTGTGATCAACAGTCAGAGCAAGGCTAACATGCTCAAATTCTCAGTCACAATGACTTGTGAGTTTGTGCTAATACAACCACCGACAGCGCCCAAAGGTTACGTCTACCCAATCTCAAACTTCACTCACAAGGATTGGGTCTACCTGTGGCATGGTTTTCAGGAACTTTACAAAAAGGCGCCACATGCTGGGATTGCCTCCTCCAGATAATATCAAAAGTTACCTTCCTGTTCCTGACAGATCAGTGAGATTTGAACCCAGGGCGCATAGTCAGAACGCAAATGTTCTAACCAAGTGCCTATATATATATATATATATATATATATATATATATATATATATATATATATATATATATATACACACACAAACAAACGTCATCCACAGGCAGACTGTTTCAAAGTTCACCAGTGTGGGTGGCTAGACATGATTGCGACAAGCCAGGATTGAAGCCTGACTGATTTGACATCAGTCAGAGGCCTACAGCACATGCTACCGAGAAAGGGAATTTTTAATGCATTATATATGAGATAAGTATTACCAGCTACCAGAGGACTCAATTTATAACAAAGAGCTTAGCATTAATCATCAGCAGAAACCAACAAATTTCCTATCTAATATAATTACACAATTCTTTTGAACTTTCATCAAGATCCATTGTAAATGAATATTCCTATTTAAATGTTTACAGCTATTAACAGTAACGACAAATGTAAGATTATTCTGATACTGTTTTGAAATGAATACATAATCAACAGTTACAAACTGGCAGGTAAAATAAATATGAATAAGATGGTCACAACATTAAAAATTCAGTTTAACAAACATTGATTTAGACAAATGACAGGTTTTGTAGTTTTCTGTTTATCTCCTGCAGATAATAAAAATGTGGGTGTTTTCTGTAGCAGATAAGTAGGTTCTTACATAGTAATTGTAGTTATATAAGAGTCAATTGACTTTGTTAGATTGACTGATTTGTGTTTTTTATAGCTTATCAACCTTTTTCTGGTTATTTAGAGCCAGAAAACATGTTTAGATTGTAAGAGTTTTTGCTTGATCATTTACTAATACAAGTACATAGCTGGGAGGGTGGGGAAGAGATGGATTCATAACTTTATCAAAAGTACTTGTCTGTAAGTGAATATAATAAGCCTGGAACTGGAATTTGAACTCCGGTCTGATTTCCAATTCTAAGCCGTTATCAACTACACATCCAAACTTACAGCACCTGGTATTCCCAAGCAAGTTACCCATTTAGGTATTAACCAGGCTTGATGTTACTTCTTTGGTGATTGTATGAGAAAGTGTTTCAACATGATATGGTTGTAAGACCTTGTTATATTAGGGCTGAAGTGACACACAGAGTTAGCATGCCTAAGTTCATAGGAGTAATGCATACAAGAGGGTGCTGAAAAGTTCTCAGCCCACCAACCCTTTAAGTACTTCCCTTGTAAAACCCTCTTTAAAGGAAGTTCAATAACTGTACTGAACTGCATTTAAAAAATTGGTAAACTAAACTTATGCTTTCTTAATGAAGCATAATTTTCATAATTTAGTCTTCTGATGCTTACGGCCATATGACATTAAAACATTAGTTCCCATACAATCGCCAAAGTTAAGCAGCATTGAGCCTGATCAGTACCTAGATGAGTGACCATTTGGAAATATCAAGTGCTGTAAACTTGGATATGCCAGTGGTGTAATGGATAATAGCTCTGGATTTTTGATGTGAGAGCAGAGTTCCAATTCCAGTTGGGTTCGTTATATTTACTTACATGCAAATACTCTTGGAAAGTTATGAATCCACCTCTCGCCCAGCTATGGTTTGACTAGTTAAGACTTGTATCACTAAATCATTATTATATAAAACATCTTGAGCTTTTAAATGTAGGATGAAGTGGTTAAATGTTATGTTAACTATACCCTTAGTAATCCAGAAAGAAAACAAAACAAAACACAAGTCCCAAGTGTGCTGGATTAGTGATGTTAAACATGTACAGTGAGTGTCGGGTATTTGAGGACAATTAATTATTAATATATTACTCACTTCAAACTATTTAAAAGTATTTTATTTCTTTCAGATAACCAATGGCAGATAAAATGCTAGCATAAGAAATGAAAAGAGATGCAGTCATTTTTGCAATATGTGCAGAATAGAGATTTAGTGTTTAAGGGAAGTTAAAAAAATAAATAAATAAATGAAGGAAGAATTAGAGGAGTAAAATTTGCATAGAGCATCTCCAGGATACTATACAGGATCCCTTTTGGTCAAATGGTCAGATAATGTGGATAAAGTTCAGTGAGGGAGAGGACAGAGAAGTTTTATTTAATTTTATTTATTCCGTATTTGATTTTATCGAAGCATATTCATATTTGAATGGATAAATGTATATTTTGGCTTCTAATCCTCTTTTGTTGGTCTAAATAGACTGACCAAAATTTGGACTTATTTTGTACATATATCTCATCATATTTCTCGTACATTGAACTTTTCTTTTTTGTGTTTGTATGAAGAGAGACAAATAATATTAATTCCCTGCTCAATTTTATTTTGATAGAGAATATTTTAACTTATACTAGGTTAAAATTTAATATCATATCGTCAGTTCCTTAACTAACTAACAATGTGAAGTTAATCTTTATAATTTTGTTTACTATTTATTTTTTCCTGTTTGTGATTGGTTTCTTCTGGGAATGACTTCAGCTCTACTGATGTCTGCCTGAACTCTGAAATTTTATTCACTAATTATTATTTTTTCCTCTCTGAGTAAATGAGTTCGACTATTGAAAACATCCCCCTTGATGTACCATTTCATAGGACGATCTTTCAGCATGACAAAACTGACTGGAACAGCTTCAGATCCTACATTGTGGAAGCACACCTTCAACTTTCTCTAAAAAATAGAGACCCCAGAACTGCCTCCCTATGAATCCTATCAGGTATGTATAATTTTATCATCTCAAAGGAAAGAAATACCAACAGAAACCAAATAGCTAACACTGGTTCACACTATATTAGGATGCAACCATAGCCCACCAAAATTACTACTAACATTCTTGCCACAATGAACAGTGAATGAGACTTTTGGAACATTTCAGATTGCACACAATCAATGGATAAAAGAATTCTAGAAAAGATAAAGGGCACTTATACACAATATGTCTAAGCCAAGGTTCAAAACAAGAAACTTTTTCTGGTAGTTTTGGAAACTCTCAAATAAAATTCTCAATAGAAGCAAAGCATCCATGTCAGTTATAAATGGACCCGAGTTTATTTCATCCTCATATAATGCAAGGTTCTTTGCAATAAACTTTGCTTACTTGCCTGTCTTGATAAAGTTCAAAGTGTCTATGTGACATTCTGGGAGATTATCTTCCACCCTACAACCCCTCTCCACAGGCATTAGACTACAAGGACGACTCCTTATCGGACTTTCCCCTACTTATGGAGCACAAACTTTGTAATATCTGTCATGGTGCAAGATGTTTCCAGATATATCAAAAGCCTTGACACCACTGGACTGGACAAAATCTCAGTGCAATTTTGACAAAACCATTTAACTGCTGCCAGAAGGATGGATGTTTCTCAAGTCCATGGAACGTGTCAATTGTGTTTTAAGAATGTTGGTGAGAGCTCATGCATGTCACAATATTGACCCATTAGCCTCCTTAGTGTTTTCAGCAAACTCTTCAAATCTATAAGCAACAAAAAGGTTGAACACACTAACAGGAAAAACCTCCTGAGCAATAACCAGTCTAGATTTCACTCTGCTAGATTCACAGCTTGATGTCTTAACTGTTACTACCCACAGAATCACCCTCTACCTTGAATGGCTCTTGGGCCTTGTATTGTGTGAACATTAGTAAAAAAAAAAAAAAAAATGTATCTCTCTCTAAAACTAACTTCCCCATTCAGTAGGCATGTCTTAAATAATATGAATTCAATGAGGGTAGAGGATGGTTCTGTGATCCTGAACAGCCATTGTAAACCCCACTTCCCCCAGTGGGTCTTTTAGTCTTCACAAGTCAGTGAGTATGTTTCGTTGCCTGATCTCCCTGCTCTGTCACGATGATTTAAACCCAAGAAGTTCTGCTGCTTTGAATAGACAATAAATTCATAATGAGGATCATTGTCTTTGATATATCAAAGGCCTTTGACAAGGTGTGACATCATGGGCTGCTACATAAACTCTCCAGCTGTGGAATCTCTGGAAGGATTCTCTTAATTCTCAAGCCCTTCCTAGCAGTAATGTCGCTGAAAATCATTAACATGATGTTATCAGGAGCCCATAAAATTAAGTTGGCATTCCACAGGACTCTTTCCTTAGTCCTACCCCTCTTTCTATTTTATATAAATAATCTGCCTAAGAGAATACTCTTATCATAAGTGAATATTTATGTGGATGATAGAACAGTTTATAGGGGCACCTCCCAAAACATTTGGAACATCAGAACCTAGCAGGCCATCACTCCTCGGACAACTCTGGTAGTTCAAGTGATAAAGGACTGGCTTGTAAAATTCAATATGGCCATACTCAAACTAGTAACATTCCACCACCATCACCAAGCAGACCCTGAACTTTCACTTATGGTGGATGGCTCTCCTCCCAAAGAGGCTGCTAACCTTGAAGGTCTATTGGGACTTGAGCTTTCTCCAGACTTCAAATGAAGCTCATATATCTGATGGTCTGCTAAAGATGCCGAGAAAAAAAAATATAGTTGGTTCATTGTACCACTCCAGTAAGTATCTGATCCCATCTGTTATACTTTAGGTTTAAGAGAACCAGATTAAACCAAAAATGGAATTTTGTTGCTTAATCTGGGTTGAGTCTGCACAGTCCTTACTTGCCTGTCTTGATAAAGTTCAAAGTGTCTATGTGACATTCTGGGAGATTATCTTCCACCCTACAACCCCTCTCCACAGGCAAAATAATGTGAACCTCTCACTGATATATTGCCATTTCTATGGCAAGTGTTCTGATAAGCTATATTCTTTAGTCCCACTACCCAACCTTTACAACTGGGACCCATCATGTCGTGTACACAAATATGAATCATCATTATTCCCTCCATATTTCATTAGTAATAATTAAGTTTCATTGGGTCAGCTTCTTCCCAAGAAATGCTGCTTTGTGGAATAGACTCCCAGCAGGATGGTTTCCCGATCATTACAATCATGACCTCTTCAAGCCTAGGGATAACAGTTATCTTTCCTGCATAACCCCATGAATTTCACTTATTGTCCTTATGCTCATATAACACCATATAGTAACCCTCTACCTTGAGTGGCTCTTGGGCCTGGTATTGGGTGAACACAAGATCTCATGTTACTTCATATCTTTCAAAGGAGTCTTAGGATTAATGCTACTGGACATGTTGAGGTGCCGAGACGGTTGTTAAACCCTGAATGAATTACACTGTGGAAGCCTATACGCATTGCAACAAAAAACTCAGTATCTTCTCACAAAGCCCTTACATAACCTAAGAATGGATGTCAGACAATCTTTACAGTCATGTAAAACTAAAATTGTGGGCTCCAAATGTCCTCACAATACCATAGCTTCACTGAAGGATGTCATTGTCCAGGTGCTGTCCAAAATTAATAAAGACTGGAATTTCTGACATACATGCACTAAATAGTGCAGCTAGGTCAGCAATTCCGGTCCTGTACTGAAGCAGTCATCAAGGCTGAAGCTTATAAAGAAGCTGATCGAGAACATATGCACAAACTTTTATTAAAATACATTTGGTTGTTGCTAGATGAGGGTGGTTTTATCAAATGACCAAACAATACAAGTTGCACTCAGAATGACAGAATTAAAAAAAAAAAAAAAAAAAAAAAAAATTGTAATTTGGCTGGTCACAGATTGGATAAATGATGTTCTATTTTATTATTAGAAAGAAAAGATGAATGGTGAAGATCTATTTTTTTCTTCTGAGTAGCCACCAACCCTCGTAAATATACAAAATTACTTTATATAATTAAAGTAAAAAGACAATGTCCTATTTACAGAGGAAATCTTAGATCGAGAAGGGACATTTAAGGGACTATCTATCTAGGGGTTGATAAATAAATCATGGTGATTTAGGACTTAAAAAAAAAAAAAAAAATAAAAAAAAAAAAAAAACTAATTTTCAATCTTACTGGTCTTAAGTCACTTAGCTGTCATTTACAGATATGAAATTAGAAAAGTGCTGCCATCATTGATATTGTAGCCGACTGCTATGTTTTTCCACGCCCACATTTTATTTGTCTGCGATTGGCTAATAAATTAATATTGCCTTTCTATAGGACAATTTAGCCATAGCAATCGTTGCTTTGAATTTTTCGGTTTCGAATTTGCTTACTTGTTTTGTTAGTACAAATTTAGCGATTGGTCAGATTTTAACCAATCACATATTTTAGTGCAAAATCAACTTTTCCTGTGGTTTCGTTGGGAGCCTATCTGTAGCTTTAAAAGAAGTGATTTTTTCACAAGCTGCCAGTAGAGTCCAGTAAATTTTGCCTGTCAACACAAACCTATGACTTACTCACAACATTTCAAACGCACACAGAGAATTTTGTTATACATATCTGTGACTCAGCCAAGTTCAATCAACCAGGACTGTTGATTTCTCTAACACGACACACTTTCTGATCAATTGTATTCTTGAGTTATCTATTCTAACAGCAGACTTGTTCTAACATTGATTTCTGAACATTTCTCTCGAAAGAGAACTTTCTTTCAAACAATCAATTACAAATCAAAATACAGTAAAAAGGAAGCAACTTCTTTTCTCTTAATCTATTGAATTTACACAAACTTTCAAACTATTATTCTTTGAGGTTCATAAATTCAATTACTGGTATATAATTTGATTAATTTGTGGAAATTTTTGTTCTTTATATATCCGTTTGTTTATTAAGAGAATTCTTTAATTTCCGTTTACGGTTTGCCCCACCTGAAAAAATCTGTTTTCGAACGCAAATCAACTAAGTATCTGGAAAAAAATGCGACACCTGAAGTTTATTAAAATACATTTAAGAAAATTAAATCTTTTTTGAAGCTTTTTCATTTTAGTTTTAATTAGAAGCTAATAAATTTAATATTTCCACTGAGCAAAACACTGCTATATTTCAAACCGAATTTAAATTGATTAGAATGATTTTGTTTTTATTGGGTATTGTTTCATGTTCACAGCGAATCTTGAAAGTACAAGCTAAGGCCAATAACTGTGACAGTCAGGAATCGATTTGACCACTTCTAACTAAATTGATAACAAAAAGGGGAATATTATTTCGATTCTGAAAGTGTAATGGACTAAAAAAAAAAAAAATTCCCAAAAAGACTTTTTCACTTTTTTTTTTTTTTAAAAAAAAAAATGTAAGTAGTGTCCATTACTGTTTTCTAGCTTTCTTTGATCACTATTACTTTAAAAGGGCATTTAATTTTTACATAAATGTTTAATTTAGAAAAAAAAGATGACGACTCATTTGAGTTTGACTTTCTTACATTAAGTGCAAATTGGACTCAAGCCAGATTTATTGTGTCACATTTCATTTAAAACTTGACTGGCAGTCCTTGTTTTTTTTAATGGAGCTAATTAAAAAATAACTTAAGCAATTATTTTGCAGAAAAATAGTCTTATGCTCACAAGTCAAATTTAAGCCCTTACAAAAACTGCCATTTTGTTTTTTTTTTGTTTTGTTTTTTTAAATCGAAACTAAATAGAAACAACTAGAATATCAACGGACACCTTTAAAGAAATTGTAATCCTAAGACTAGAAATGTGATGACGTCACACGAGGACGGCACTTTTACAATTTACATTTAACATCAAACTAGGAATAAAATGAAAATTTAATTTTAAAAAAATTAAGCAAAATGTGAATGATGGACCCAAAAAGAGATTTACGAACATTTCACTCACTGAAATAATAAAATAAGTTTTTAGATCTAATTTTCTTCAATAAATTAAAAAAAAAATACTTTAAAAAATCAAAATAGTTTCAGAATGTAAAAATGTTGTCATTTTTTAGTGCAGTTAGAAATCATACACAACTATATCACTTTCATTTTTTTTTTTTTAAGAAATGTAGCAAGCTGATTCAACGGTTTTCTGTACGAAGAACAAAGTTAAAAGATAGATAAAAAAATAGGGTTCCTAAGTATCTTACCGCCAATTATCGTGCGTATAAGGGAAGCGTGCCCAGGACAATCAACAAATGTGAATTGTAATTTTTCATACTTGGGTTTCAAGTGGTCCAAGTGTTTGGGGACATCAACGATAACTGAAGAAAAACCCAGATCCAGAGTAATACCACGTTCCTTGCTCTGGGGATTTTTATCAAAGCATGCTGTACTAGCTGTCGTGCTCAAAGATTTCGAGAGACTCGTTTTACCACTATCAACATGCCCAAGCACGCCGATGTTAAAATTAAACGTGGGCGCAGCCATTTTTGACTAACAAGTAGCCGGAGTATATTTCCGGTATGTTTATTTTTTTGTAGCACTTCCGGTCTGGTTACATAGCGAATTAAACATTAAAATTATAAAAGAAAAAAATAATAATCATGCTGTTTATTTACAAAAATTTATTTATTAATATATTTTTTAATTTTATTCCGTAAGTGGTTTAAAATTATCCTTTTAAAGTTTTGTAACCTGGTTTATGTTAAAATTCACCGCATTGAAAGCCCGGTCTCGTCAGGGTTATCGCAACAAGCGACAATTTTTCTGTTGAAGGTTAATGTTTTCTTTATGTTTTGTTTTTAAATATTTTTAGATTATAAAATAATTATTTTCAAAGTAAAACTTAAAAAGAAATCTTTATAAACTTTCAGAATATAATTATCCCCCCCCACACAAAAATTGTTGCATTTATTCGAGTGTTCGGCAACCTTCGGTAAATTCCGTATATCCCTCTAGTTGTTTCAATGGCCGTGCGTTGATCAACAACGGGAACGCGAAGATGGATGTTGTGGAGGGGATTTTACAGATTAGGTTGAGAAGCAGACGTAGACAAAGGAAGTTACTGGACGACTTTTTTCGGTGAAACCAAATTGAATCTTTTGATACCTGGAAGTGGACAGCAAACCCAACATATTTGTCTTTCTTCATCATCTCTTCTGGGTTGCTTGATGTACTACTACTAGGGGAAAAAAGAGAAGGGAAGCAACAATATATTTATTATTCAACAACGACGACTGCTTGCTTCAGTCTTTGCCTTCCTTAGACTTTTACTGGAAATCGATTCTTAACTTTGAATGAAATAATTCTACGAATATGTCCAGAATGGGTTACAATTCTTATATTTCTTATTTTATTTTATAAAAAAAGACGAAAGATAATAATGGCAGATACTTCGTCTTAAAAGAAAATGGATTAGAGACACTTTTTTTTTTTTTTGTTTGTTTGGATTTTTCTTTGAAACGTGAATTATTTACAGAAAACTTTTTTCATTATTTTTTGGCATTTGGTTTTTTTAAAAATTCACACAAAACTAAGCCAATTTCAAAAGAAAAATAAGGGTTTGATTTAATTTATTTTCCTTCTTTGAATCAACAGTTTCTAAAAGTAAAAAAAAACAAAAACGTAGAAATTTCTAGTTATTTTTTTTTTTTAATTGATATTCTAGTTAAATTTTTCTTTAATTGATATTCTCATATGAGATATATTTTTTTTCTTTTATTAGTATTAAATTTGTTTACTTTATAAAAGAAGAAAAAAAAATGCCTGCTGCAAATATTGTAGTAAACGAAACAGACGTTCTCCGTCTTGTGACGGAATTTCTCCAAAATCGGGACCTCAATATTTCCATGATGTCCCTAGAGAGAGAAACTGGGGTTATCAATGGCCTTTTCTCGGATGATATGCTTTTCTTGCGCCAACTGATCCTTGATGGTCAGTGGGACGATGTGATCGACTTCATCCAGCCACTGGGCAGTGTCCAGGACTTTGATATGAAGCGATTTGAATATGTTATTATGAAACACAAATACCTGGAACTCTTGTGTATAAAGTCGGAACCGAGTATTATGGCCAATTATGAATTTACAGTCGAAGAAGTGGTAAAATGTCTCAACTCTCTTGAATCGTTATGTCCGAACAAGGACGAATACAGCAACTTGTGTCTTTTGCTTACATTACCACGACTTTCGAGTCACATCGACTACCAAAATTGGAACCCAAGCAATGCCCGAATGCAATGTTTCAAGACCGTCTATCCAATGGTCGAAAAATTGATGCCATGTGAGAGAAAAAATGAAAATGGTAACAACCAAGTGGCTAAAAATGACCGTCTCTTGCAGCTTTTATTAAAAGGTTTGCTGTACGAGTCTTGTGTTGATTACTGCCAATCAAAAGCGACCAGCAATGGAGACGACATGGAATTAAAATTCGCATCTCTTCTCAACGATGCTGGCCTTAGTGATGCCGATCTCAGCCTTCTTTCTTGGTTACAGAGCATCCCAGGGGATACGTTTTCGTGTCCATTCGAGCAGAAGACCATGAACGTGGACATTCGGCCAATGACAAAGCCTTCACTAGAGGCCTCTTGGTCCGAACAAATCCTAGTGACTCCCATCAAGCCCCGCATGTTTCCGCATTCGCATGTGCCCACCACGCGGCCGAGGGGCACCCCCGAGATGATGACTCGCTCCCTAAACCCTCAGTTTGACGGTTTGTCTAGCGGGTTGTGGCAAGGGCGGCGGGACTCTGGCGATGGCCTCAGCCCCATGTCACGGTCAATGACTCCTGCCGCTCGGCTACACAACCTGAAGAAAAACCCGATGCAAATGTCTATGGACAAACTCTTTGAGGAAGGGGAAGTTATCAACACGCAAAGTTCCATTTCTGATGACTCAAGGTCCTTTCGGTCTTCCTCGTCGGTCACGTCGTCCCCGCTCCGAACCCCTAAGAATGTAAAGTCTGGTTCGGCAGGGACTCCTCCCAGATCATTCTCGCCGGTCAATACTTCAGTGACCGATTCTCCTCGTCATGGAAAGATGAATTCGAGCATTACCAACTCTACCCCAGGTATGACAACTTCAGCCAACACAGAGCTTTTCAAGGAGTACCAACGACAGAAACAGCGCCTGCAAGAACAACTGGACATACAGGAAAAACAGAGGGAACTGTTCCAAAAGGAACTTATGGAAATTGAGCAAAAACAAACAATGCTCAATAGTGATAACCGTGTGAAGGAAGAAGTACGGTTTTCCCCTCAACCATTCAGTTCACCTGAAACATCTGTAGTACGATCCTTGCAGGGAACACCTGGTGAGTTGTTTTTGTGATTTTATTATTGAATTATATTGATTCACTGCAAGTGGTAGTCATCAGGTTTAATAATTGATGATCAATCAGTCAATAGCATCATTTTTCCTCTCTTATACTGGGCTTAAGTAAAAAGTGCTTTTTTGTTTTTGTTTTAAATGATGCGTACGTGTTTTTTAGTACTGTTTAGTAGAGAGTGTGTTTTGATTTTTGCTTCAATTTATTTTAAATAAAACTTTAAGCTTTTAGTTTTAACGTTTTTTAAAGGTTTTTTTTTTTTTCTTTAAGAAAATCAACTATGAATGTGATAGTTTTGTTTTAGCGTCAGTTAGAAGAAAAAACTGAATCGAAAAATAATTGAAAATGAATGGTGTTGAAAAGTTCTCGGTCCGAACCACTTGAAAAAATCTGATCAAATATTTCTAAAGGGCTTCATAGTTGAGCCTACTCTTACAATATCGTCTGGCCCTATAATTTGGATTATTCTTGAATTCACATACATTCTCTCCAATAATGGGAAAATTGAACCAAAAAAAAATGTTAATGCCATAGAATGACGATCTCTTGTAAAAGTTTTGCTAAAAATAAATGTAATTTATGCTGCTGGTATATCTGTTTCTTGGATGGGACATTTTAATTATTTAATAACAGCTGATGAAGTCCTGATTCTGATTTGCAAGGTTTTCGTGAGGAACCACTCGCCACAAATTCGCACATTAAAATGATTCCACACAAAAATATTTATTTTATGCTTTGATTAAATAATGAAAAAAAAATTCTGACTTGGAAAAAAAAATCCGTATATTCTTTATCAATCTTTGCTCTCATAATAGTAAAATAATGTTGTTTTTGATATTCAGTTATTTATTTACGCATCAGATATTTGAATGGTGGTTTTAGGTTTTGAAATTTTGATTTGTGTAGTTTCTCATTGGATAATCAATAATGCAAGAACTAGTTAATTGCTGCAATAAAATGTCTTATTAGTTAATTTTTATTTTTTAGAATATCTTTTGACAAAAAAACGATGATGCCAATTCTCGTGCCACGCTGTCTACTCCTTTTTTTTTTTTCTCCTTCCGTGGTTGCGCTTTTAATGTCAAATAATAACGGATCATATTTTGAACACAATTTAATTGAAAAGAATCTCTCTGATGGCTCAAGAAAAAAAACCAAAAAAACTACTGTTGTTATTCTGGTGATAAAATAATCAATTAGCCAAGTGCTTTTTAATCGATAATACTAGATACTTTTTTTTAAGTAAATTTACAAAAAAGAAAGTTATTGAATATTTTTCACTTTTCTTTCAGTGTTAATTTAAAACTAAAAGTTGGTTGGAAAGAATATTGTAAAATCCTTTAAAATACTAAAAAAGAAAATGTTGACTGGAGAATTTGAGAATTTGTTTAATAATGAAATAAAATAAAAAAAAGTATATTTAAAAAAAAAAAAAAAAAAAAAAAAAAACTTATCCATAAGGACTTGAAATTTACCTAGTAGAAATTGATAATTCCTTGAATGAACAGGTGCAAATTAATTTCAAGGATATTAGAAGAATATGTCACTTGACGCAATAATAGAGAAATCTTAGTTGCACCATAATTTATGATCCGTGTGCACAATAACAAAATGTCTGCCTGGCATGCAATTTTGAATTTATTTCTATCACAAGACACAAAAAAAAGAATGTTACCATAATAGAAGTCAATTTCAAAACCACCATCTTTTATCTAGTCAGCTGACTATTTAAAACTTATATTATTTTTAAAGCTTATCATTTTAAACATCATATGATTATCTAAGAGACCAATTAGTCGTAATAATCACCTGTCAATATTCTTTCTTTATTGAATATAATCTTGCTCTCTTTGATGTGATGGAGGTATTATAAATTCTAGAATTGTACAAGCTGTATTGAGGCAAATATTTTTGTTTTGATTGAATTGAAAGTTTTCTTAAGTGATAGTACAATAAAGAACCCCACCCACAAGCTCAGTACTGAGAAAATAAGGATATAAAAATAGCTGATAGTTTGTGTTTCTAGTAAAGAAAAGGTGCTGTGTTAGTAATGTTTTTCTTTTCTTTTTTTCTTAATTTGATTTTGTCAAATTTTGTATAGAATGGAAATGTTTTTTTTTATTTTTTTTTTTTTTTTTTTTACAAATTTACTGTATTATTAGTCTTGCCTTAACTTAAAAAATGACCTTTTAGTTTTAGAATTTTGATTATTTCTAACATGCACACATACTGTAGAAAATTAATTTTATATAATTTAGTATATGAATTAGTTTTTAAAAAATTTTAAAATGTTTGTCACAGCAGTTCTCTTAAATCACTTAAAGTGCATTTGCTTCTTTTAACAACACATTTTTAGTTAGTAGCAGTAAGTTGTGTGAATGCTTGTGGGTATGTTGTAGATATATATTGCATTACTATGTAACTTTTCTTAAAACATTTCTGCACCTATATTAAAAAAGTAAATTGATGTATTTGGATTTTATTGATAGAGAAGGTAACAGACTTTTTAGTAATTATTTCAACTATATACAGTAATAGTCCATCTGTTGAAAAAAATATTTTCTATTAACTGTACTTGTATAATTGTTTTTCATTTGAATTGAAATGTCTTTGCCTTTTTTTTTTGTAGACTTTGAATTAATTTTATTCCTGTTCACAAAAGTGACAGCATAGTGGTTAAAACTTTTGTCAGAGGTTTGTGGTTTATTTACTAGTGAAGCTTATTAACAATACCTGAAAAAAAAAACTAATTTGTAATTAACATGTCAAAATTAGTATCCTGTATGTGAATGTGTTTATATGGCAAAGACAAAATTTGTAAACTTTAGATACTTTGCTGATTTTTAATCACTAAAATTTTCTCTTCCATACTTGAAGTATATGAAAGATAAGAGCATCTCCAGATCTATATGTGAAAGCCAGTCTCCAAAGGCTTACATTTGAATATTTGTTAATAAGGATTATATTAATTTCTATCCAGTATTTTATTAAAAAAAAACAAAACATTTAGACTGTTTCTGGCACCATCTGATTAGATTTACCATATTACAAACTCTTTAATTTGATCATGTTTTTCCAGTCATTTGCTCACTTCGGATGTTCCACTGTTTTGGTTGGGTTTTTTCTATAATAATATCTGGTAACATATTAGGAAATTTTCTTCCCCATACATACATTCTGATATTTTGGCTTACAAGGATTAATTACTATTGAAAGTTGATTACTTGAAGAGAAGGACAAATGGGTTGCAAGATAACCTGTTATTGTGTATTTAGCAATGTGAATTAAAGTGAATCATGTCTTTCAAAATACAGTTGTTCTACTTTGAGCTCTTTCAGCCTTAAACAATTACCAGTTTTTATTTTAGAACAATAAGGCAATATATTAAGTTCAATGTGTAATTCATATTTTTAATGTATAAACTGAATAGGAAATAAGAGCAGAATGAGTGTGACAACATAAACTTGAAACTCTAAATATATCTGAACAAATATAAAGCTTTTCACATTGTTTAAATTTATTAATTATTATTTAAATTGTGAGGATTCAGTGATATTCTTGATTGGGACCTCAAATTATTCTTAGAGATTTCTTTGGAAGCTATCAATTACTTTAGGTAGTCATTGGAATTTTTTATTTGACAGCATTTCTTAACTTACATGAATAGCATGCAACATTTTGACACTATATCTTTATGCTTGTTACACTTGAATCTTTAACTGATAATGTACAATAATTATCTTTTCAGTTTTAAGCAGAGAAATATAAGTAGAGTACCATAATGATAAGACCATAATATATTTATTTTTTGTTTAGTATACATCTCAAATAAAAACAAATTGTATTATCTTAAATGCTAAATGGAAATTTGAATTCAACATGAGGGAACTGTGACCACACCAAAATATTGTTTGCAGTGATATAAATTTTTTTTTTTTCAGTAGTGTGTTCTTTGGAAGTTTTTCTTTTGGCCTGACCAAGAAGTTCTTTAAAAAAAAAAAAAATCTGATTGATCAAATTTTGGGAAGTGGGTCAGATTGAGAACTTTCCAGCAGCTCTTCATACAAACAACTTAGTATAGATGCATCAGTGTACTAATGTCTGCACAATGTTTCAATATTTTCATTTACTTGTGAACAATTCTGTACTTGATTGTCCATTCAAAATGGCTGAACACTTTTATTAAAAATGATTTTAGGTTTGGGTTATTTTGCTCTTGCTTTCCTATTATAATGGTAATGGCAAATATGTCTGCTTAAATTAGGAGAACCTAAAAAAAAATCAATAATGTCAGGAAATAGTTGATAATCAAGTCTGAGTGTTCTATTCACTTTTCTTTCTAAATGACTATATGGCATTGTGATAACACCTACAGGATAATTGGGGGTTGTTAAGGGAAACTGACAATGAAAAGTCATTGATACATTTTATTATTTTCTATAGATTATTTCTGTATAGCTTTGTTAATTAGAAACTTGTGTGTGCTGAAAATTCAAAGATTCTTTCATAATTCTCTTATTCATATCTGAAATCTTTGAAAATACTTACTGGCAAAATTAATGAGTATTTAAGTTTTTAGCAATTAAAGTTTGATGCTATTGCCGACATATTTCTGCTGCTATGCTCTGAATTTTTAAATATTTAAATTATCTAAACTAAGGAAACTCTAGCTATGGCCTAAATGACAGAGTAGACTGGGTTCTTTAGCCTTGGGTGGTAACTATTTTAAGATAAAGAAAACTCTGAATTCGGAATCGAGGAATGACTCATTTTTATCTTTCCCAAGAATGCATGGCAATTCATATAATGAAGAAAAGGAATCTGAAGAGGCATGATCAACCATGTCCAAAAGAGAAATGATATTTGATAGAAATTTTTACAATATACTCTGTTGAATGGTAGAAATATTGTTGAAAATGTTCAAATCATTTTTTTCATTATTTATTTTTGTTTAGATTTTTTTTCTTTAAACATAGTTCTTACAA